GCCACAAAATGGTGGCTCGACCAAGGCCGAGCCACCATTTTGTAGCTAGCACAATTTTGAGCCGAAAACGTGTTTTTGATGGGATTTCTCAAGATTTGGTCGTTTTAGGGCCGCCCAACTGCTTTTATACTATCTCTGAACGTGGTTAAGCGGTTGTTAACTACGGATAACATCAAATCATCAGTTTTCATCCTAAAACGCTACAACCGAAGCCTACAAATACAAACCTAAGGCCTTCATTTGTAGAGATCTGAAATTAGAGGGTGAGGTGCTGTCAAACAAAAGAGTGGAGCACGAATTTTAAAGGAGGGCTAGCAGATCTTGGCGAACTTTAGCATAAAGAAGAAGTTTTTTGAAGGATCTGAGGCATGTCCCCCCTTTCCTCCAGATCAAACTTAGTTTTTATCTCGAGAAGAGTCGTAATCTCGCTTGGTCAAGATTATCACTTCTGCGATTGTTTCCTTTGTGAAGGAAGAGTATTAGTTAACTTTTCTGTCAACCAGATCTGATCCGTGATGATCCACGGACTAACGCATCCTCAATACAGGCAAAGATCCCACGCGAAGCAGCGGGTGATAAACGTCTGTTGCGTGTGTTTTAAGGAGATTTTATTTGTTTATTTTTTTTATTGTGTAAGATGGTCTTATAAAAAGATTGGCTTTTCTCTTTTTTGAATTTGTAATCAATAAACAATTGTAACAGATTCAATGACAATGAATAAACTAATTTCCGACGCAAACAGTAGTCAATTATTAAGCTAAACTCAAGATTCTGAAAATAGTTTACGGGCTCAGTGTAGTCAACTACTAAGAGCACTAGTCGACTACACTAAGTCTGTTTGCCTGTGCAAACTGATTCATTCTCATACTCAAAAATATGTACGTTGAATTGATCTCAAATTAGTTCCTATCGTACTCAAACATCAAAATATGTAATTTATGATAATATAACATATTAAATATCATTTATCACATAATATTCAAATTTGTGGGGTTTTATAGGTCAGGAGGTGAAGTGGAAATTGTTGCACCAAGAAGTTTTTTGTAGTATTTACTAAACTTAGATATGATTTTAAGCATATCAGATATCCTGGAACCATCCTCAGAATAAATGGATAGTTCCCTGTTTTGATGTTTCTTAGCCTTCATGATAGAGTGGAAGAATTGAGTACCCTTGTCTCCATGCAACCCCCAATTTATAATGGCTTTTTGCCTGTAGAAGGATATTTCACAATCCAACAGCTTTCTATATTTTTTTAACACGTTCTTTCTCCTTTAAAATTAGAACAGAATCAAAGAGGTTGTTGCTCAACTGATTTTGAATGTCACATAGGTCTGCTTTAGCTCTTGAAACTTGCTCATTGATATTCATAAAATGCTTTTTATTCAATTCTTTAAAAACAGGTTTAAGCCTTTTGAGCTAAGAGTGAAACCTGTACATGTTATAACCGATGATTTTTTGATCCCATACTAATTTAACCACTGATATAAATTCAGGATGTTTTGTCCACATACTAAAGAACTTGAATGGTCTCTTGCCCTCAAATTTTTCATCGCCAACTGTTAGCAAAGTGGGAGAATGATCAGAACATGATGACATCAGAAATTCTACTTGACTGGAAGTGTAGTGTTGAATCCAATCCTCATTTACCAGTACCTTATCTAGCCTACACCAAACTCTTGTTGCTACATCTTGCTTGTTACTCCAAGTGTGAAATACCATCCTATAGACTTTATATGCATTAACTGACTTGAATTCATAAAGTACTGAAAGTCCTCAGTATCAGTATCTGTAACTGGTGCACCTACAATTTTTTCCTCATTATTAATGATAGCATTGAAGTCCCCTCCTACCAACCAGGGTCTATTTACATTCCTTTTAAATGCCAAAAGTTCTTCCCAGAGCGATTTTCTATCCTCTAGATGATTAAGAGCATAAACAATTATGATTAGGCATGTCAGTGTACCATCCTTTGATTGCACTGCACTAGTAATGTATTGTTTTGATGATTTTAAGCACTGAACAATGAGAATATCATTATCCCATAGTATCCATATTCTCCCATTGATTGCTTCATGTACATTTGAAATCCACTACCAAGTTTTTGTAATTTTCTTAGCAATGGTCTGCATTTTTTCCTCAGTGACCTTTGTTTCTAATAATCTAATAAAGCTAAAAATGAAAGTTTGTACTCCTGTATAATTTGTTTAACCACCATGTGTTTAGAGGATTTATTAAATTCTCTAATGTTCCAGATGGCCACGGGCATTATTTTGAGATTCCACCCCTATCAATACTAGAGGAGTCCAATTCAACTACCTGATGATCCAAAATAGAGAAATGTGAAGCTTGAATTGAAGGACCATGATCATTTGCAATAGGTCTCCTAGCTACTACGCTGATCCTGTAGCACTTATAAAACCAGAAGTATTAACATTTGGAGAAAACCTGAAAGTGCTTGAAAAATTCTTTTGTCTGCGCACACTCTGCGCATGTTTACTAGAAACATGCATATTTGATTCAGTTACTCCAGAGTTTTGTGCCTTCGATTCAGATAGCCTAGAACTAACTTCCATTACATTTCCTCCCTTTTGAACATAATTTTCAACAACTGGCGCATCCATATTCAATAATCCAGCAGGATCTCTAATCTCATTAGGTTCATTCTGTCCAGAATTCTCAGGTTTATCTCTCTTTTCAATAGGTCCTTGCTTACTTTCAAGATCGTGTTGCACATTAGCATAACTAACTTGTGCATCTTTCATTGGTTGCTTATTAACTGGTACCCATTTCTTTTTAGTAGTTTGCCTTCTACATTTCTTAGTTTCATGCCCTATTATATTGCATAGAGAGCACCATCTTGGTTTAAGTTCATACAATACTGTTTGATTATAACTTCTTCCATCAAGACCCTGAATAGATATTTGCTCAGGTAAAGCCTCTTTTAAAGAAAGTTTGACTTCTAACAAAACTCTAGCATAATTCAATCGCTCTCTTGTGGCTGTAAGTTTACCAGTTGCAATTGGATAACCAACAAGACTTGCAATTTTACTTATGCCAACAGAACTCTACAGATTTAACCTCAATTAGGAAATTGAACCCACATAGGATAGCTATAGTCCTGAATTTTTTCCATGTTCGTGTCAACAATCCATGGCTTAAGAACCAACTGTCTAGAACCAAAGAACCAGGGACAAGCCTCAAGCACTTCCCCCTCATTTGTTTTTCAGATTGAAAATCAAAGAGAAATACTCCTTGCTTGATTAAGAAGACTTTCGGAATTAAGATTGCACCCCAAAGTTTGGTAACATAGGATTCCATAGAGTTGAATTTAACATTCAGTCTAATTACATGGCCTATCATAGATATTTTTCCAGTAAACGTCTCCATCTTTCCACTCCTCCGCAAAGAATGTAATTGTATTAGCTTAGGAAGAATGCACAAAATTTAAAGTCATTCCATTACCAGATCTCCTATTATCAGTAAAGAGACTAGCAAAAGATTTGTTAGGTTCTTGCACATTATTTCCCGAATTCAAACCATTTCCATGTGTAGAATTATCTGATTTTTGATTGACGGTTTCTATTGTAGGAGGCTCTAATAGAAAACTACCAGAATTTGGATTAACAGTATTCAAAATATCATGAGACAAAAGATCATCAGATTTGGTCGCATCATCCGTTTTTCCAACAGAATCCAATTGAACAACAACATCATCCAGAATTAATGCAATCGATGAAATAGAATCAAAATTACTTTTAGGATTAGCTGAGAGATGTTGAATCAAAGAAGAATCAGTTGATACATTCTCCAATTCAAGCTCATCAACCCAGAAAACCCTTGTAGAGTTGCCAACTTCATTACCAAAGATTGCAGACTTACTGAGATGGCGCGATTGAACTCCAATCAACTCCAGCGTACCCTGAGAGTGAAGAGAATCCATCAGGAAATCATTAGAGCTAAGAATATTCTTCATCAATTTCTTCTTCTTCTCTCCTCTAGGACCCGTTGACCCCATTAAACCGAGATCCAAATCTTCATCATCTTCAGCAAAATTTACATCAGATTGATCCTCATAAGATTGTAAACTAGTATTTGAAGCTCTTAATCCTATATTAAAGATTTTTTTTCCCACCTTTTTCTTCTTTTTTGCCATCTCGATCTTGGCGAGGGTGCACGTTAGTAGGAAAAAAATCACCCACTAAAATGCACCATTAGACCCACCCCTTATAAGAGTTGTCTATTTCCATTTTACATTTTGAATATTATATTATTGTGCTACTGTAATTAATAGATATCATTACTAATATTACATGGTCAATATAAATAATTGATAAATAGATGAGAAGTTGTTATTCTATTCTAACATTAATAAATAGTAATTAAATGAGATGTTAGGTTGGAAATATCTAAGATACTAACTCATTACACGTGAGAAACTAAAAATAACTATCCAAATCAGAAGGAGGATTAGGGATGATCAATCTAGCGGTCTTCAATGAGGCTCTACTATCCAAATGGATGTGAAAATTAAGCAAGACTCATTAGCTGGTCAAATCCTTCAGGCAACCAATTATCTTCATTCTCCTATTTCTAATTGCACACCACCTAAGGCCAATGCATCTAAATTCTGGCACAACACAATACATTCTAGTCAAACTTTCCTATCCTTAGTCCATTGGAATCTGGGGAATGGTAGTAAGCTATGAGCGCGAGACACCCTGAGGTGTTTCAGCACCAGCCGAGGGTGTCCGAGGAACTCGAGACACCTCAGTGTGCCTCGGTCGGGTGCGTCCGAACAACAGACAAGTTCGGGCAGTTTTTTGACCTGTTTTTAGCATAAATAGGAACTTTGTTCCTAGGTTTTTTTAGTAGAATAGGGGGGGCTATCATTAATGAAAGAGAGAGAGTTTTTTAGATTTGAAAAATGTGATATCTTGAGGAGAGAAAAGAGAGAGTGCTTGGAGAGATCGTACAAGAAAGAGGTCATATTCTCTTGGGTAAAATCAAAACCTCATCTTTGAGACGAGCTTGTGGGTTGTGCAAGTCATCAGTGTTCTACATATAGTGGAATCTCCATTCTCCACCTGCCCTATGGACGTAGGCAAAGTTTCCGAAACATTATAAATCTCATGTCTTCTTTATTGTTCTCTATGTATTGGCTATTGCTTGTCATTCCCTTAATCTTCAGATCTAGATTTGATATTGGACAAGAGTGTATGTCTCACATCGTTGAGATATTCACTTCTATTCTTGTTTCATATCGAAGCAAGAACATCGAGGTTGGCTTAAGTTTTGTGAAAAACAAAAGCCAAGGCTTTCTCTTGAGGTGATTTGCTTCTGTTGTGAGTGGGCATTGTAGGTGTCTAAAAATGCCTATAGGTGTCCGTACACAGCTCGAGACGGAAAGAAGACAACGAACGTCGTTATCCGAGTCTAAGAGGATTATCTGTCGTCGACAAATGCATGAAGCGAAATGACGAACTAAGTGGCCAGCGCGTGTCAATCAGCTTGCGCGCGTCAATCAGTTCGCGCACGTTGGTCAACACGCGCTTGTTAATCAGCTTGCGTGCGTCGGTCAACACGCGTGCGTCAATCAGTTTGCGCACGTCGATAAATACACGTGCGTCAATCAGTTTGTGCGAGTCGGTCAACACGCGCTCGTTAATCAGTTCGTGCGCATCAGTTAACACTTGCGCATCAATAAGTTCGTGCACGTCGGTCAACGCGTGCTCGTCAATCAGCTCGCGCGCGTCGGTCAACACGAGCGCGTCAATCAGTTCGTGTGCGTCGGTCAGCGTGCACTCGTCAATCAGCTCACGCGTGTCGGTCAACACGTGTGCGTCAATCAGTTCGCGCACGTCGGTCAACACGCGTGCGTTAATCAGTTCGTACCCGTCAGTAAACTTGCGCTTATCGGTCAGTTCCAAGTGCCGTAAAGAAGCTAACGAGCACATGAAGCAAGTTAACAAATCGTACAAGTAAACAAGATGGTCAAACATGTAAAAAGGTGGAAAATACAAGTCCCAGAAAAGTCGAAAAACACCAAACAGTTTAGCAAAAGAGCCGAACTACCCGCACCTGCGCGAGTCGAACCGCACGATCGCGGACCGCGCGGGTCGGGCCCCGCGTTCGCGACCCTGCCGCGGGTCAACCGGCGCGACAGCTCCCGCGCCCCCCGTGGGTCAGCAGCGCCCGTCGCGCTGTTTTGATCCGAAAATACGTTTTTCGACAGTTTTTTGCGGTTTTCTCAGGATTTATCTGTTTCAGGGGTTCCCAATTGACTTGATATCATCTACAAATGTGGTTAGGCCATTATTAACTGAAGATAAGGCTAAATTACTCATTCTCATCCACATACCCGCATCCGGAGCCCTATAAATACAAGCATAGGGCCTCCTTTTAGCGAGGGAGGAATATTATCAAGACGAGGAGGTGTTGTCGAATTGAGGAGTCAAAGGAGCACGAATTTCAGCAATGGTTGACAGATCTTGGCGAGTTCTTTAGCATAAAGAAGGAGAGTTTGAAAGATCCGAAGCCCGCTTCCCTCATTTCCTTAAGATCAGGCTTGGTCTTGATCTCGAGAAGAGTGCTGATTTCGCTTGGTCGATCTCAGCGTTTCAAATCAAATACTTCCTCGGCGAAGGTGAAGCCATGCCGAATTTTCCATCAACCGGATCCAGATCAAAGGTGGTCCACGGATATTGATGTCCTCAGCACAGGCAAAGATCCCGCATAAGCAGAAGACCGATAAACGATCTCTCTATGTTTGTTTGATAGAGTTATAATTTTTATTTCTTTCATTGTGTAAAGAGTCTTATAAAAAGACCGATCTTTTTGAACTTATTGTAACGATCAAAGTTATAATGAGTTATATACAATAAAGAAAATAACTTTCGATGCAAACAAACTGGCGACCACAGTGGGAGCCAACAGCTTCGTTGCCGAAGCTGTCGTATCGTAACCTCGGATCTGCATCCCAGTTGAAGAAGTGGTCGAATATGAGTTTGACCAACTAAAGTTCGAGGAGTATCTGTCGTCCTCCTCCTCTAGATCCTCCGCCCCTCATAAGCGCAAGAAGTTCAAGGCCCCCGTTGCTGCTACCCTCTCGCTTTGCAACGCCCCCTGGCTTCCAACGAGGTCGGATCTACAGATTTGAATTTCTCCTCAATCAAGGAGTTGAGTACTGAAGGTGTGCCAATCCTATCGAAGAGGGCACGTCAAAGGCAACGTCAACACCTTGCGCGTCAGCTTGCTAAGGCTTTGGAGCCGATAGACGAGATCCGTTACGAGGCGGATCTGAAATTCAAGGAGCATCAAGCAATTGCAAAGAAAAGATTAAAGAAAATTGATTTGTATTCCTTTAATTCCGATTACAACTTGATTACAAAAGAGAAGAGAACGAATTTGATTCTCTCCTTTGTTTAAAACTGGGTTCTTCACGGTGGCGATGGAGTGCCTCCCTCGAGTGCTTGCGTCGAGTTTGCTCTCCGTTTACGATCCGATGTTTTGCTTCACTGGAACGATGTCTTCTCCTCACGATTCGACGCTATGGAGAACTTGTGTGGCAAGTTTGAAACTCTTGATGAGTTGATAACTCTGAACGATTTTTAACTCTTGAAAAAGAGTTGATTTGAACCGAGAGTCGGTTATAAGCCAAGGACAGAGGCTCCCTGTTGCTGAAGTTGAAGATGATCTTCGCTGGAAGATGATGCCGATCTCCTCAAAAGCCTGTCTCTAGTGGTCGATCCAAGCCAAGAAAATCCAACCTTGCTGTCAATTCCCAGATCCGAAAATGCCAGCCTTCAATGGTCGATTCAAGCTAAGAAAAATCGAACTCCTTAACTCAGTTGAGTTTACTCACTTTTATAGGGGATTAAGAGGGTGTAACTGCCCTCTAAATCCGCTCCTAAGTGGGCGACAATCCCTCAGAATGTGGGATAACGGTTTTGAGGCCGTTCGGCTTGTGTTTGAACAAGTCAAAACGCCTAATCTGGCGTTCAGAACCCAACTTAGCCTCCTAGAATTGAGATGCGAGGTTGGGTGTTGGCTGAACATCATGGAACGCGAGGGTCGCTCGTGTTTTGGTTTGTTGTAGCTTGGAAACGCGGGGGTCGGTATTGGCTGGACCCCTACGAACGCAAGGGTCGCTCACGTTTAGCTTGTTGTAACGCGGGTCCGACTCCAGCGTTTTGATGTTGTAACGCGGGTTTGACCCTGGCGTTTTGATGTTGTAACGTGGGTTCGACCCTCGCGTTTTGATGTTGTAACGCGGGTCCGACTCCAGCGTTTTGATGTTGTAACGCGGGTTTTACCCTGGCGTTTTGATGTTGTAACGTGGGTTCGACCCTCGCGTTTTGATGTTGTAACGTGGGTTCGACCCTCGCGTT